AAGAATTGGGTGAATTCACCAATGCAATTGTGTAAATGAAAAACAAATTTATACTTTGTGGCTTTGTCTTAAGTCATTAAAATATTTTATTGATAGTAACTGACAAGAATGACTCAGTAAGTAACCCAATCCAGCAGTAGAATGGAAACATCTTCAGTGGTACTGAGAGAGAAAGAGAAATACGATTTTAATTTGGGAAAATAGGAAACCCTTTATATAGAGAGAATCATATAAAACTTTTTTTTAGTGCATCAGTTTGGCTCAGAGAACATAGGATAAAACACAAATTTAATGAACATTCGGGAATTTCTTAAAATATATCAAGGTGACAGAAGCTTTTATTTCTAATTTGTTACTTTCTAACAGAGACTTTTGCATTATTATTATTTTGCTCAGATATCACTATGGTTTTTATAGACTACTAATTTCTACTATTGCTTTATCCGTCTTCCACAAGGAAAAGCCTCCTATAGTGCATTGCTAAATTAATAGCATCGTGGTTTGTTAATTTTTTAAGTCCATTGCATTCTTTCTGTGCTTGTATTGCCTACCTTTGGTTATGGTATTGCTCTTTTATTGCAAACTCTAAATCCAATAGGTGGGCCGGAAGGTCTCTATTTGCCTTATTTCCCTTCCATTCACATGTCACTACTCTGGTGATAGTTTGGGACATTGGAATTAACAGAGAAAAAGTCCTGTTCACACTGAAGTGTTTCCAGTTTCCCCCCCTTTCTTTCCAGGGTATCGACTCATGGTTACTGCATGGATAGTAGCTGACAAATTTCATCATCATCATTGTAAATTTCACTAAGATGAACAAGGGGTTGTTGCCCTCTCTATAGAGAGAGAATTCAGTTTTTAGAAGCAAGCTCTCAGTAGGCTCTGTGGTATTTCTTTTTATTTTTTTAATTTAATTTGGAGAAAGAGGACAGGAGAGGGATAGAGAGGTAGAAACATTGATGAGAGAGAGACATTGATTGGCTGCCTCCTGTATGCCCTCCACTGGGGATCGAGCCCGTAACCTGGGCATGTGCCTTGACCAGGAACCGAACCAGTGACCTCTTGGTTCATGGATTGACGCTCAACCACAGAGCCATATCTGCTGGGACTTTTTCTTTTTTTTATGCTATAAGGATAGCCTTGTTTTAATAGGGCGAAATGGAAGACAACATAAATATATTGAGAATATATTGGTAAACAAATTATGACATATCCAAACAATGGAGTGCTATACAGCCATAAAAAGTTATGAAGAACAATATGTAATTACATGGAAAGTTGATCAGGGTATTGTGATAAAATGGATATAGAACATGGTTCCATTTTCATCAAGTGCGTATTTTCCATATTGATGAATATTTCTTTAAGATGGATTTTCAGACATAGGATTAATGAATTATTTTTAAGAGATCGATATTACCTGATCACATTGGTGACTATAAATATGTGTAGACAATCAGTGGTTCTTGGGGCAATGAGGTCTTTATTCTCTTCCTCCCTTTTTTGTTTGTCTTTCTATTTTCAAAATTATCTACAAAAATCACATACTACTTTTGTATTATCAAAAAAAGGGAAGGGTATTTTGCTTGTCTATTTTACAAAAGAAGTTTGAAGCTATGTTAAGGCTGATAGGAACAGGACTTGGCTTAAAGGCAGAATTTTGGCAGATGATGTGCTGAGAACATGTCTTTCCAAGCCCCAGTGGAGGTAAGAGTGCACTGCCACTCTAGATGGGACTCTGTCCTGGGTGGGGTCAGCAGTGAGTTGTAACATTCTCTCTTCCTCCCCTTGACCCAGTGGGGATGCCAGGTGCTACAGTAGGTGTCCCCTTCCCAGTCTCTGAATGCTTCTCTGCATTTTAGTTTTCTGTGCTATTTCTTTGAAGTTGAAAATCTTGAAGGTTGTGTTTCAGGAACTATTTTCTTTTCTTTCTTTTTTTTTAAATTGAGTTATAATTGACATATAACATTATATTAGGTTCAGGTGTACAACATAATGATTTGATATTTGTATACATTGCAAAATGGTCACCACAGTAAGTCTAGTTACATCTGTCACCATACTTAATTACAAATTTTTTTTTCTTTTCTTTTTTCTTGTGATGAGAACTTTCAAGATTTACTCTTAGCAACTTTCAAATATTCAGTATAGTGTTATTAACTATAGTCACCGTGCTGTATTTTACATCTCCATAACTTATTTATTTTATAACTGGAAGTTTGTGCCTTTTGACCCCCTTCACCCATTTCACCCACTGCCATCCCCCTTTCCCTCTTGCAGCCACCAGTCTGTTATCTGTATCTGTGAGCTTGTTTTTGTTTTGCTTATTTATTTTTTAAATTCCATTTATAAGTGAAATCATACAGTATTTGTCTTCCCCTGTTTGACTTATTTCACTTAGCGTATTGCCCTCAAGGTCCTTCCATGTTATCACAAATGGCAAGGTTCCATTCATTTTTAGGGCTAAATAGTGTGTATATACCACATCTTCTTTATGGAACTATTTTATATTTTAAATATATCTGTATTGATTTCAGAGAGAGGAAGGGAGAAGGAGAGAGAGAGAGCTAGAGACATCAATGATGAGAGAGTCATTGATCAGCTGCCTCCTGCACGCCCCTAACTGGAGATTGAGCCCGCAACTGGGGCATGTGCCCTGACCGGGAATCAAACCGTTATCTCCTGGATCCTAGATTGATGCTCAACCGCTGAACCATACCCAGCCAGGCGGAACTATTTTATATTTTAAAGGACATATCATCTGAATTTTATAAAAAGCTCTCTCTGACCAAAGAGATATGAACAAAATCCCAGACTTTCTTTATGAAGTTCAATTTAGAGAAATTACTTTTTTCCCCACTCTCTCTAGAATAGTAATGGGTACCTAGTAGGTGCTTCATATATATTGGTGGTGTGAATGAATGTCGTCACTGTGCCAGACACTTCAGAGAATCCCCAAATGAGGAGTACAGTCTCCTGTTGACCCCAAGTAAAGTGGGAGGGACCTGTTGACACAGAGGAGGACAGTCCCAGGTATGGTCCGGAGAGGGAGTTGTCTGCCTTGAACTTTGCATCCCTCAGGATGCAGCTCAGCCATTATCCTCTCTAGAATCAGCCAAAGCTGAATTCATCCCCTTCCCTGTGCTCATGGGGCATCGCGTGCAGACCTCTATCATTCTTTCATCAAATACCTACAGAGCACCTGCTGTGTGTGCAGTATGCTTCTCAGCCTTCGTGGAGCTTACCTGACCATGAACAGCAACTAGAACG